ATGGTAGACTCATACGACGGAATACAACAGTGGCAAAGAAAAAGAACTAGATTATGTAGATAACATAAATAAAACTACACGACAGCGTTAAATGACAAAATCAAGTGGCAGAAGAACAGGAGATTTAAAAATAAATACTACATAGTATTCTATATACGGATTCACCATGATAAAATGTTAAAGGACAAAACAACCAACCATAAATAGGAATAATAAATTCAGGATAGTAGTTACATCTAGGTAGGAAAAGACAAGCATGAGACCAAGAAAGCCAGAGGGTGGCTTCAACTCTATCTGTGATGTTTCATTTCTTAAAAAAAAAAATGAAACATTTTAGTGCAATAATAAAAATTATGAAAAAGTAATTTTTTCGAACAGCAAAGACATTTTGAAGTCCCTATCCAGAAATTAAAAATAGACTAGTTTACTATGTCAACAAACCGCAGATGCCCAACTAGGAAAAAACGGAAATATGACTCTTAAAATAAGTAAGAGAATATGACTTTTTAAACAGTCAGATGGTTAATCTAAAATTCACAGATGATTTTAAGATTACTAGCCTCCTTCATTTTCCCCTAGAGAAAAATGTTCCATAGCGATTTCAGTAAATCTTAAGTTTCTTGAGAATGTACGTCGGAAACAATGTATGCTTTACAGCCAATAAAAGCCAAGCAATCAGAATTGACGTTTTAAGGGGCAGAGGCAGAAATCAGGTATCAAAAACAAACAAAACTACCACCCAAGCCAAAACTAACAAAAATTAAAGCACACATATTTATGAATAATCCTCAGTTAAGACTGCTTTTAAGGGGGTAGAGGGTAGGGGATTTAACATCGTTCCAGACAACAGGAAAGGTTTCCCTGAAGAAGTGACTCGAAGGCTGAAAACTGCTGGATGAGTAAGAATTAAGTGAAGAGGGGCAACAGGCCTAGGCAGAGGGTGGGGTGTAAAGCTGAAAATGCCTGGAGGCTAGAAGCTATGAATAGGAGCAGATGAAAGAAAGTCACTGCAGCTGGAGACTGGGTGATGAGGGGTGCGGGGAGAAACAACTCCTAAGGGGAGTTGGTAGTCTATGAGGTGGAAGACAAGGTATATGTTAATGAATTTGAATTTTAGATTACCAAAAAACGGAACACCATCTAAAAGGTTAAACAAGCATGACATAATCAGAGTTTATTTTGCATCCTTGACTTTTGAAACAGTGTATGTGTATGTGTGTGTGAATATACACCTGTAATACCCATTGCCATTGAGTTGATTCCAACTCGTAGAGACCCCATAAAACAGATTAGAGCTACCCCACTGGGTTTCCAAGGAGCGGCTGGTGGATTAGAACTGCCGACCTTTTGGTTAGCAGCTGTAGCTCACCGTAGCTCTTAACCACTGTGCCACCAGGGCTCCGTGTGAATATATAGAAGGATGCAAAGTGGACGCAGAAAGACCGGTTAGAAGGCTACTGGGGTAGTCCAAGAGAGAGATATTAGTAGTTTTGTCTAGAGTGGTCACAAAGGAGAAGAGAAAAGTAGACATTCTCAAGACAGGCAAGAAATAAAATCAGCAAGACTCAAGGTTGGATTAGACAGTGAGACTGCGGCAGGAGTCGTCTAGGATGATTCTGAGGTTTCTGGCTTGCATGCCTGGGGGACAGTGCCATTCACTGAGAGGAACTAGAAAAGAACCAGGCGAGCAGGGTATGGAGTGGGCTCAACTGTAAAATGAAACAGGATGTAAAGTACGCATTACGTGAATATTCCAACAGGAGATGCCCAACAGAGCCATTTATTAAAGGAATATTACCAAAGAGATTCTTCTGTTCTCTCCTTGATCAAAATGCTCATCAGTAACTGCATAATTGGTAAATTGCTAAAAGACATTTTATTGTGAATACCGCTCCCATGGTTCTGTCCTCCTTTCTCTACCTTTAGTTACCAAACTCACCAACGTGACAAAGACTACTGAACGCACGTTCTGGAAAACTTAACCAGAGAGGTTTCTAGGCTTTATGTGAAAACTCAGAAAAGTTTAAATGGTTTCTCACCACCGTTTGACACTTTATATAGCCCATAATATACTAGACTCTAGCAGAAAATGAATAATTCGTTCAGTAAAGTCTACTTTTCAGATGTCCATTACTGAAATTTCTCACACTTTCCCTCCTTGTGCAAAATCGCTGTCATACCAAAGACTCACACTTATATAACTTTAACAGTCCTCTTTTGTTTAACAATGTTTAAAACGTTATTCTGAGTTATAGCAGTCTTGTTTCTATTTTCATTAACAGGTTTTACTATTCAAGAAATCACTTCTGAACCAGTGGGACATATTTGTGAACTGGGAATATAATACAACAAAGTAAAGCGATAGGAAATGCAAATTAACAAACAATACACAAAAAACATAAAAATGTTACCAGAGATAAATTGCACCCTGGTGACTAGGAGCTGAGACAGACTAGCACAAACTTTGTCATCTGTGCATAAACCATTGTGTCCAACCTTCAAAACACTGTGGAATTTCGAAGAAAATCGTAACTAAGCTTACATTTCAAATTTGTGAACTGTGCACAAGATTGCTTCATTGTTTTGCTTTCCTTCTAACACTCCTAGGCTGCCTGACAGACTCCCAAGAATCATTAGTATGGTTCACAGGCCATACTCCAAAACACACTAACATATCAGGTGCGACTCATGCTTTGCAGAGGAAGAAGTATACATGGCATCTACCTCAAACGTTTTTAAACTAAAAAAGCTCATTACACTGGATTCCATTAATTCAAAATACGTAATACAAATAATATAAACATATTATATAAGCAATGTCAAAGCCAAAGACGCTTAAGGAAGCCCAAAGACCAAATTAATTTTAAGGACTTTATATTTTGGAAATTCTGAATAATTGGGATATCTCATAAATCTTATCTATCACACTGATGTCATCAAAGGAAAGAAATATTTCCTATAAATATATTACACGCAGAGGAGGAAAAAGTAGTGGGATCAGCTTAAATTCAGATACAAATCCAGAACAAGATTTAACCTTAACATTTCTGTAGGTAAGATTCTACACACCTTAGGGGATTAAAATGAACACCTTATTTCCTATCACTTTGTTATCATTCTCTGCCTATTAATTAGCATTCCTAAGACGTGGAGAACATATTTTGCTATTTTTTACATAGAAGACTTGACTACCAATGCTAAGAAAAACAAATGGATCACTGGTCATTCCACTATTTATTTTTCAGGTATGACTGACTGGGAGCTGCTTCTGGCAGTTAATGGGTACAGCCGAATGCTGAATGTTCTATAATGCATGAGAACTAATCGAACCTTTATCTCTTGTTTTTTCCCCCCAAAACTTTTAACAGAAAGCAAATTTATGAACACAGATGCGAATGATGTAAAAAAACAAATCATATATACAGGGTACTGGTTATGTTTAGTGAATTTTAATTTTTCCTTTCCTTTTATTTTCACAGATTAAAGAAAACAAAATCGCCATCATTTTTCATATGGTTGGAAGAGCAACACTTCATTTTATCACCAAGATTAGCAGAATTTATTACAGAAATTATATGTCACTAACAACAACTACATATTTTAGTTATTCAGATAAATAAAGCAACATTCAGTGCCATGTTCACATGTGGTTATACAGCTCTCTCTGGGCCCCATGGGAAAAAAAGAGTGGGGTCACGTTACTGTGTATCCCAGCTAGCACAACAGTAGTTCTAAATGCCACTTGAAACCATTCAATTTAATCCACAACTTAATCAAAGAAAAGTGGAAAAGTCAGGTGAGTCATGGATAGGGCCACTGGGTACAGTTCGTGGATTTTAAAAAGGTTCCCAGTGGGAGGGCCCAGAATCTGCCCCTATTATGGCTCCAGTCTGCAAAAAAACAGCATCTAAGGTGATTCATCTGTGGAGGGAGGGTGCCTTTTTGTAACTTACACAAATGCATCATGGTTAGCTGGAAGACAGGCACTAGGAGAGACTTCCTCCCAGAGGAGACTTATACACTGTGCTATTTCACACACTCAGAAAGAGAAGAGGCCAGCAAACTCCATGCATGGTCTCACTGGTAAGAAATACCAGTGCTGTGAAAAGTTATACTGGTTGTCAAACCAAAAAGCAATCTCAGTTAAATATGAAGACAGACCCCTAAGTAAAGATGTACAAAATAAACTGAGTAAGCAGCACTGAGCAAAGTGGGAAGACCTGATATTACAAATTCAATTTTTTAATCTAATGTTAGAATCAAAGCAGGTGTAGCTAAACACACCATACTAAACATATCTTATGATAACATTCTCTCTCTTTTAGAAATTCAAAGTTATTTAGGTTGTATTTAATGTGACTATGATACCATTATATTGTTTTAAAAAAATGTATATTTTCCCACTATATACAAATTAAGCATATTTGGCATCAACGTTAATACGTTTGCTTCAACTCTGAACTACTAAAATGTGTATTTGAGAAGGCTGCATGCAAGTTTTGAAGCAACAACAAACAACTCCGGTTTACCAGGGCAATCCCTATCCTGACTGCTTCCTTTTCTCTCCCTGCTGGTGCACACTTTCCAGCTCGGAAGCAATACTGTGTCTTCTAACTGTTAGCTGAAAGGTGAGTTCTTAGGAAGAAGAAGGAATGAAACAATAAAAGGAAACGCACCTATGGGCATTATTAACTCTTAATTAGACTTTTAACTAAGCAGAATTCTGAATACTCCAAGACGCTAGGTACAAAGTTTTATTCCACTGAATTAAAAGAGACACGTAATTCTCATATGCTGCATTAGAGTAGCAAATATTTTTCAAACAACTACTTGATAAATCATAAACATGTTTTATATTGTATGTCTTTTCTTCATATAACTTACGAAATGCAGTGCTGGACCTAAGAGGAAATTTAGGATAACTGAGTTTACAGAACATCACTTAACTGAGTTTACAGGAACTTGCATTCTAATTACTTACTATTAAAATAATTAAATACCTTTTGTAGACTGGTAGGATTTAGCTGAGTTTTGTCTATTATCTTCACAGCGACCTAAAAAAGAGAATCATTAAATTATACTGGAGGATACATATTTTAATGAATAAACACTTAGGAAGAAAGTATCTCTTGTTTCATTCCTAACTAGATGCAATTTAGCTACATTTGGTGCTCACATCAGTAAATGGTAAAGTTCTGATAATTTTGCAGCCTTAGAATATATTCTACTGATGCAGGTCTTTATCCTATCTGATCCTGAATCAATAAAACTAAGGCTTTGTTATCTCTTCCAAGTGTCCCCTTTTAAAGTAAAACTCATCCTGAATCTTAATATTTTACTTACAATCTTGATAAGCAACAATCATCTAAGGGGTGGGAGACTTAGAAGTCTGAAGTAAGATAAGCATTCTATGAATAAAATGGTTACCCAGATGGAGCGCTCAGATACCCAAGCTTACTTATAGCAGAGTAACAAAATGGACCGGAACGGCCTCTAGGTCTCTGCCTACTGTAGCCTGTGTCACAACAGCTCCAGAGTTAGAACGGACAGAACGGGCTAATTCAACAGGAAATGACAATACTATTAGGTATAGAGCAAAGTGAAAACAAAAAGCATTTTATGATTGAGGTGTTTTTTTACAATGTTCTAATCAGATCCAGTAAACATTACGGAATGCAGAATGTTAGATGTTAAAACTTTAAAATAAAGCCTTTGAACCCAATATAGAGACATAAATATGCACTACACGTATGTGCAAATATAAAATTTTTTACTATATAAACAATTTAAAACACATAGGATTTTAGAAATCCAATTATCCTATTACCTAAGAAAAACACCTGCATAACAACACTTATTCAATGTGCTCTCTAAACGGTTATAAATTAGTGGGTGACCTTCTGTACATTTACACCGAATTTACCTTAAACTGCGATTAATAAGAAAAACTTATCCCAACCCTGTTCCTGGGGGTTGGGTGGCAATGGCAATCAGAAACGTTGACCAGAAACCATAAAATGAAAGACAGAAGGCTGGGGAAGGCTCGTCCATAGCAACCCGATTCACCAGGGATGCCAACACAACCCTCTCCTAAATCAACCTTCACACCACAACATAACTCTATCTCCTAATGCTCTGCTCACAGACAGCTCAGTGCTTACCATACTGCCGCTATGGCTTGTTCCCCAACATCAGTTATAGGAAAACTTTTTAATAACACTCTGGAGAGGCCCAAGGAAATATGAAAAGGCATCATGAAAGCTTACCTCTCTACCAGTGAGAACGTGTCTTGCCAATTTCACTTTGGCAAAATTTCCTTTCCCTATTGTTTTTTGTAAACGATAATTTCCAATGTGAGGCTGATCATCTGTCGCTGAAGTGATGGAGTTTCTACACCGGGGAATGTTCTGTCTGCTACTTGATTTGGTCGGCTGGATGAGTGGTTCAGTATATCCATCCACAGATGTGTTCTAAGAAAAAAGTGACACGATTTCATTGTTAATTACATTACATTACAAAAAAAGAATTAAAAAGACTATAATTCATTAACAATTCATCCTCAGTGAAAATACATTGCAGTACGTGTTTGTAAAGTTTGAACACGTTATTCATAATTTCTGCTTGACTTCAGCTCTATCTTGGGGGGGTAGTAATTATTCTAAATGAAAAGGTCTGCATATTATATGCTTTTTAAGGATATGCTTTGGATTAAAAAATATTTCGTGGAGAGACAGCTAGGATTCCCACAAACCGTTACCCCTCTTTAGGTTGAGATGACCACATAGTCAGGACTGCTTCATTAAAAGGGCAGAAATGTGTTTACTGCCAACACGAACAACCTCAAGAGTGTAATTCTGTATTCTTCTCTAAACTAGCCCAGCTGCTCGTCATATTCACACTCTTCCATTGGCTGGGCATATAACTCCGCATACTGACAAAGCAGCTGCCTGCTTCAGGGGTATGTCTCATCAGTTCCTGCCCAGCCCCCTCACCCAGCTTCCCATGCCCCAAGGAGAGCTGCTTACAACCCTGCCCAGGTCCAGGGTTCACTTCCACTGCATTCGCCTTCAATGCTGCTCTGAGGCAAGGACCTCACTTGGTCTCTCATAGTCTCATGCTAGCCTACAATTGCAATGAATATGAATAGCTGATCCCGTCCACCTCTGGGCTCGGCACCTCCCTTCCCAAGCTGCCTGACCAACTATTCCTCTCAGCAGCTCGGATTGGTCCTGCTCTTGTCTAGTTTTGCCTGCATTCTGACATGTAAAATTTCTAGTAGTTTTTTTTGTGAAAAAATAGAATCACACACAAGAAACATACCTATTTACTAATCATGTAAAGCATGATTCAAGGTCATTTTTCTATTTGTTACTAGCTTCTGATTTTTGCATTGTTTTAAAAACTCAGCTCAGGATTCAAACCCTAGGCAGGTTTTCTCTGGGTCTTACGCACACCTGCAGCCGCTGGCCTCCTTCCAAGTTGGATGTTCCTTTGAGTTGTTCTCACAGCAGCGGGTACTTCCCTGCGTCCCAGTGTCCACCACGCTGTACTATCATAATACGTTTACTCGTGTCTCCGCCACCCGACCACGAACTGTTTGTGGACAGGTTGATTTCCTTGCAGAGTGCCAGACCCACAGGAAACAGTCAATAAATCAATGGTTCCCAAAGTGGGCTCCCTGCACAGCACCATCAACATCACCTGGAAACTTGTTAGACATGGAAATTCTCTGGGCTTGTCCCAGATCTACTGAGTGGGAAAATCTGGGGTTAGGGCCCAGCCATCTGTGTTTTAACCAAGTCCTAAGGGTGATTCTGCGGCGTGTCGAAGTTTGGGAACTACGGCAATAAACAACGCGAGAAGCAGGTACATACAAAGTTATTCACCGACTTAGAGACTTCTCTATTATCTAGGCAAACGAGAGATTCCAGTTATTCTCAATTTCTAAGAATTAGGTTGCCGTATTTCCCACAAATAGTACTTCTCGACCTGAATAATGCTGACTTTTCCATCCTTCAAGATTTAACCTGAATCTCTCCTTCTCCACAAAGTTCTGTCTTCTCATGAGGCGGAGCTGATCACCCTTCTCTTCAGTTGCTATCTTTATACCCCGTGAAAACCTGTACTGCTGGCAGCTACCACCACCGACTGCTCTGACCAGGCTCACAACACAGGGTTCTGGACAGAGCTGGAGAAGGATGGAGAACACAATTCTAACACACAAAAGAAGACCAGATTTACTGGCCTGACAGAGACTGGAGAAACCCCGAGAATATGGCCCCCCCGATACCCTTTTAGCTCAGTGGTAAAGTCACTCTCGAGGTTCACCATTCAGCTGGGGATTGGATAGCCCCATAAAACAAAATGGGACTAATGAGGCACAGCAGTCCAGGGACAAGGACTACAAGGCAGGAGGGGACAGGAAAGCTGGTGATAGGGAACCAAGGTTGAGTAAGGGCACTGTTGACATGTAGTGGGGTTGTTAACCATTGTCATAAGGCAACATGTATACTAACTATTTAATGAGAAACTATTTTGTTCTGTAAACCTTCATGTAAAGTGAGAATAGCACCGCAACTGGAAGAATGTAATCGATGTCACTGAATTGGCACACACATAAATTTTTGAAATGGTGTATCTTTGGCTATGTTTATTTTCACCAAAAAAAAAAAAAAAAAAGGTTCTCCAAGGTCAAGAAGAGAGAATGTTGACATGTTGTGGGGTTGTGAACCAATGTCATAAAACAATACGTGTACTGTTTAATGAGAAACTATTTTGTTCTGTAAACCTTCATGTAAAGTGAGAATAGCACCGCAACTGGAAGAATGTAATCGATGTCACTGAATTGGCACACACATAAATTTTTGAAATGGTGTATCTTTGGCTATGTTTATTTTCACCAAAAAAAAAAAAAAAAGGCCCTCCAAGGTCAAGAAGGGAGAATGTTGACATGTTGTGGGGTTGTGAACCAATGTCATAAAACAATACGTGTACTGTTTAATGAGAAACTATTTTTCTGTAAACTTTCACCTAACATAAAAAGAAAATTTAAAAAAAAACCAAAAACTACTACTGGAATTATCACACCATCTTCTAAGTATTTGTTCATTATTTTCACTGTAAGCCTAAAGTTCCTAAAACTCCATAGCTTAATCTGGTGTTAAGCACAAAGTAGGCACTCGATACCTACAAGCTAAATTGAAAGAATTTAGGGTACTTGTGCTCCTGGAGAAGCCCTGGTGGTGCAGTGGTTAACAGTGTGGTTGCTAACCAAAAGGTCGGCAGTTCAAGTCGACAAGCCATTCCTTGGAAACCCTATGGGGCAGTTCTGCTGTGTCCTAGAGAGTCACTATGAGTCAGAATCAACTCGATAGCAACAGGTTTTTTTTCTTTTTATGGTGCTCCTGGTAACCATATAGAATTGATTTCTGTGTAATGATTACTCACTATCCAAATCTTTGATGTCTACCATAGCAGTATGAGTTAAAATATTTGAGTCGTAACCCAGCTCTCTATGGAGATTGCGGAGTATATACTGGCACTGAACCAACTGTGATAGACCGCATTACTAGCCCACAATTTTCACTCCCTTTGCCATGTAACTTTCCAGTACCTTCCCATTGAGGGTGGAGCATACTTCCCACCTCTCTGTGCCTGGTCATGTGATTTGCTTTGGCTAAGAGAATGAGTTGGACGTGTCAGTATACAAGCTCCAAGCTATTCTTCAAGAGGCCTTGCATATTTCAACTTGCTCTCTTAAAGCTGATCCCAAGAGGAGGATGAGAAATACACAGCCTAGAGCCACTCCCAGATGAGTCCAGATTAAATCAACTGACCCCAGCTGACCCTCTGACTCATGAGAAATAATGAATAGTTGTTGTTTTAAGCCACTGAATGTTGGGATGATTTGTTACACAGCAATGCTGATGGATACACAAAGCTATCACTTTTAAATAAAGGGGTAAACATAAAGGAAAAGATAGGGAAAACACTCATGAAAAATTGGAGGACTCATATCAGACACATCCAAATCCCTGTAGAGTCTACAAACTATAAAGGGGGTACACAATCAATTCCCTAAGAAACCCCTGATTGCAAACTGCATGAGGGCAGAACCGTTGTCTATTTTGTATCCACAGTACCAGATATGCTGTAACAGAGGCATAAACAAACTTTTCCTGTAAAAAGCCAGACAGTACATATGTTAGTCTTTGTAGGCCACACAATGTCTCTGCTGTATATTCTTCTTCTTCTTTTTTGTTGAATAGCACTTTAGAAAATGTAGAAAACATTCTTAGTTCAGTGCCATAGAAAAACAGATCACAGGGCCAGAATTGGATGAACCATGGTGTAAGACCACATTTTGAGGCTGCAGGATTGGTTAATCCTACCAACAGAGCAGAAGAATCTAGAGACAGCATGGATATGGATGGCTGTGCTGGTACCTGGAGAACAGAGGAGATGACAGAGAGCCCTTCTAATAGTATTCCTTCTCACTCCTCCCCTCCCGAAGTAGGAAGAATGGTAATATTCTCCCACAAAAAAAATTTTTTTAAAGATCTCTGAACTCTCAATATTAAGCATGATCATTTTATGAGCTACCCAACTTATACAGAATACATTTATATGAGACATAAATAAATTAAAACAGAATACACAGCATATACTTTATATTACACATTTCTCATTATAGTTGCCCACTCAAACAAATACAGGTAGTCCCTGACTTATGATAGGGTTCCGTTCTGAGGACTCTGTCATAAGTTGGTTCTGACATAAGTCAAATGGCTCTTTTTATTTTTTAGTTTTATTACCATTGCCTTTTATTATCAGTATCTTTATAAATCCAATCTTTGAACATCTGCAAGTAAACATCTGAGAATGATAACATCAGCAAATTAAGCACCACAACACTGTATGTAGTACACATTACTAATGACAAGATGTACAAAAAAAAAAAAAAAAAAAAAACAGATGGTCGTAACTCAAATACATCGTAAATTGGGGATTACCTATACTCGGAAAAAAATCACACCTTTCCTTCGGATTGACACAACACAATATTTCCTTGAGGGGGCTCTTTGAAGAATAGCTTGGGATAATCTTGCTCCTTCCTGATCAATAGCTTAACTCTCAAATAAGAAACGCAGCAAGAATACAAATTCAGCTCATGCTTGATAAAACACTGAGTTTAAACTAAGAGCTATCTCAGCCCTAAGGTTGTTAGATATAAGACATTATATTAGCACAATCACAGAATGTCAGTGGGCTTTAGTCCCAGCCTTTAGGTGAAAATACAAATTCAAATCTTGTCACTTCCTTTAAGTTGTCCACTCAACCCAGTCGACACTGAATTCCTCCATTCTTTCTGTGGCAGTGGCAACACGACCCTAAAGCACGCCCTAATGTACACCACAATCAAAGTAACCAGAGGTAATAGTTTCATTAGCTCTATAACTTTGCATGCCAG